GTATGAGAATCTTTTAAAGCCAACCTATCCTGTAATGTGGTGGTATGGTTATTAAATATTTTGAAAACAGACAGCAATGTCATATGAATGAAAACATATGTAAGCCTATTCCTGCTAAACGTCTCTGATCAACATCAAAACTTTTCTAATTGTATTAGTGAGAGCAATAGCAATTTTGAGTAATGACTCATAACGGACTGTGTAATATAGCAAACAGGATATGTCCATTTATAATGCCGTAACGTTCAATTAGTTCTCAACTGAGAGCATCAAAGGATAATGCTCTTCTACAATGCATACATGCAGTCTTAAACAGCTCTAGAAAAAAATCTTGCTACAAGCAGAATAACTATATAATCACATATCCTAAGACCAGATCTAGGGTTGGACCAATGTGGAAAGGTTCAAAACAGGTTCATATTAAGCAAAATACCAGACCAGTAATAAAGAATTTTACCACATGACTTGAGTTTTCAACAACACATTCCTGCAAATGTTTCACAGTAAAAGCCTTGTTAAGAAATGACAGTTTTCTGTCCACTGAGGGCACTAGAGGGATTTTACTTTGTATTAACAGCCTAATGCAGCAAACAGGAGTGGACTAAAACGGGGCTTTGCACTTACCTTTCAGTCTGCTAAGTTACTGACTGTACTGACAAACTATAGCTGGCTTGCTATGTGATAAGCTTGAGTGACATGATGGTTGTCAGGAACAGGGTTATATTGAAAATGGGTTAATATTACTGAGAGCTGCTTCTTATCTCTTTTTAAATTTGCCAGAATGGCTCCTGATGAAAAATTCTGTCAGTTTGCATCCAATCAAACTGGTTTAAACTCATACACGAATCAGGCTGGGAAAACCAGAAACCAACACTATCCTCACCTCCTCCAAAGCCACGGGGTCCTCCATGTCCTGCCTGGTTGCGACCTCCACGTCCTCCGAACCCTCCAGCGGTGCCTCCTGCAGCTGTCTGGCGATAATCACGTGCTCCAAAACCACCAGAAAACCTGGTGGGTAAAACAAATTCATGATTTAAATCAAAGTAAACTTCACTGCATTTGAACAAACCTTAAATGGCATTAACATCCACAGAAAACACATTTATTGTTTAAGAGGTGACAGTGTGCATGTATACCTCTTTGAGCGTCCTCTGTTGCTGCTCTTATGCTGGTGTTCATACGCCAAGCTCTCAAGCCATGAGGGAACCTCCTGTTTGGCCTCAACCAGGATGTCCAGCAAGTCCTTAGTAATATTCCCATTTTTATCATTGAAGAACGATGTGGCCAGTCCTACAAGTACAACAGTAGTAAGTAATACTATCAATAGTCAGACTCACAGTAAGTAGGCTGTGGGTTTAAGCCTGTCATTGGCTAACTGTTTCAGTGGGAATTCTCCTCCCCTTCCACTATGTGCTGCTGTTTTGCAAGAGCACTGTCGCTGATCCTGGGCTCAGCGCCGCCCAAGAAGATTGTGACTGGTTTAAAAAAATACAAACAAGCCAGAGGGTTGTTCTATACCAGAATGGTAATGGACTCTGGCACAGCGCTAAAATGAAGTATAAAGATTGGTTGGGCTATGCGAGACTATAGTAGCAATAAATCACAGCATTTTTGTGGGGTGTGGCTCAACAAGTCTATCTTCATTTGTTATATCATGCAACACACAAGACACGGGGTTAATATTACTGATTAGTTGTAGTCTTACCCAGGTTTCCGACTCGTCCCGTACGTCCAATACGGTGGACATACTCCTCTATATCGCTGGGCAGGTCAAAGTTAATAACATGTTTCACATTGGAGATGTCCAGACCCCGAGCTGCTACCTGAATATGTACAAAAAGAGCAGAAACATTAAAAAGGACAGAAGAAAAAAAAGGTCTCACACACATGCAGTGATACCATACACTTCATATATCAGTAGTTTACTGACCGCTGTGGCCACCAGAATGGGGCATTTTCCTGATCTGAACTGGCTCAGGGCCTCTTCTCTGTCTCTCTGGGAGCGGTCACCATGGATACTGGTGCAGGCGTAGCCCTCCCGATACAGGAAGTCCTCCAAGGCGTCAGCGCCTTTCTTGGTCTCCACAAAAACCAGAGTCAACGAGTCCTTACCTGATGAACCGAGAGAAATAACATCTGAGGTTAATCATTAAAGGTGAGCGGATAATCATGGTGGATGCTACATTTTTAACACAAAAAGCTGTCGTTTCTGTTTTCAAACCTCAGATTTTGAATACTGCAAAACTGCAGCCATTGCATTTTATGAATGAGGGCCAGTGGGTTTTTTTAATCCGCACTACCAAATCATGTGGAATGATTTTTAATTAACACAAGAAACGCACTGTGGTTTTTTGTTGCAGGGGCATCTTGCTCTGAACCTAAAAAATAAACAGCCAGATGACCCCGCAATCCTCACAGCTCCCTCACAAAGTTTGAGATTTCTCATTTTACTTCATGTTGTGGATCTGACTTGTAACTAATGGATTGCGGTAGCATGAACAGCAATGTCAGACTATGTATCTGTAAATCAACCACATCTGGAAGATGATTTATACTCAAAACATCGACATGTCAAACAACGATGTGACACATCTGTAAATGTTTGACACAAATGTCACTTTTCAGTAATTTTTCAGGGAGCTTAAACTTGCATTATTTTCAGGAAACATAATATCTTAATTTCAACTAAGGATTTTTTTATTTATTAGTTAATCTGCAGATTATTTTTACCAATAATCGTTTAGTCTGTAAAATGCTCATTACAATTTCACAGTCCAAAATGACATCTTCACATTGCTTCTTTTGTCCAACCAGTCCAAAACTCAAAGACTTATTCATTTACAATTATAAATCACAAAGAAAAGCAAAAACTCCTTAGACTTATTTCTAAGTAGAACCAGAAAATGTTTTTCCTAACCCTAACCCACATTTTTGCCTGAAAAATCATTGAAACGTTAAATCAATTATCTAAATAGTTAGCAACTAATTTTCTTCCAATCGGCAAATCAATTATTTGACTAATTGTTAAATGACAAAATATAATATTTGAGTGGCAATGCACTATCTTACTGTATCTCATTTATTCATTCTTTTAAAAACAGCTGCAGATACAAAATATGTTGCATCATACTGACAATCTTGAGATGAAAATCATTTAGTGTATAATCGAATCATATCAGTTACTCTTTCAGCCCTATGGACAGGTTATACGTCTGCTGGTATGGCTGATATGATACATAACTCTTAATTACATGCACCTTAATTTGTTTAAACACATTACAATAGATGTTTTTCTATGAACAGAAAAGTGCAACAGGCAGCAGGGAGTGCGGTGTGGATAAAAAGAAAACAATCACGAGAAGAAAAAAAAATAAAAAGAGTTAACAGCATCAGCAGCTAGTGAATAGAGCCACTGATGGAAAGAGTTTGGTCATAGTTCTTCCTCAATGCTCCATGAACATTACTACCTGATCAGTGAAAGGCACTGGCCCACATTTATATCCACTGCTAGCTAGCTGTTGAGACTACAACATAACCAGACTCTCTCTATCAAGGCTTTGGGTCTGACATGAAGACACCACAGCAACATACTGTACATAAAGATGCCACAAAAAACTCTTGAACTAAGAATAAAAATATAAACGGCATGTTTGATGTAAGCTTAGCAAATTTGACCCATGAAATGATACACAGAACCAAAAATAATTGAATAAACAAAGGACTCTCCATCCACTGAGAAGAACATTAAAGGGCAAGCAAAATTATTTAAAATGTGAAATGACGGATACAAGTTTCACCATCGAGGATCTTACCAGGTTTCTCTATGTTGTCTCCCGTATTGTCCTGTACCTCGCTGGGGATGACTTGGGATAGAACCACACCAAACCACCAACATGTAACTCAATCACCAGTAGAAAACCAACTCTGTATATGTTTAAATGTTTCTGATGTACCAAAGAGACACACATTAATGTATTGGCTGGGATGGGAGGACGACATTATGATAATGGCGAAAGGACTGGGGGAAATAAAACTGCACAGTGTGTGTTAGCAGGAGATCTAAACCGTTCAGGCTGTAGTTTATGTTCAATGTGTCGCAGACCTGCAGTGTTAGGACGCATCTGAAGGTTATGAGTTGCTATATGATCGTCTCACCTGTGGCGCTGAGCAGGTCCAGGAGGAACGACCTCTTATCGCTCTCCTCTACCCACACCACTTTCTGAGTGATGTTCTCTGAGGTGGAACCAACTCTGCCCACTGCCAGGAAGATGTACTCCTCTAGGAAATCCCTGGCCAGGATCTAGAAGGGCAGGAAGAGAATGTGCTTATTAATAGATTTTTAAGCACTATCCCTACTCATAACCCTGTTTTGCTTTTCTCTTTCAGTAAGACTGCGCCATACGTGATGCTTACATAGTAGGGCTATAGCAAAACAAAGAAAAACTTAAACTTGAGGGGTTCAAGCAGAGGTTCTCCTAGTCAAGTTTCAAACTAAACACGCAGGCGATATGAGGCGTAGATCTGCCTGTAGCACTAAAATGCAATAAAACATTATTTCCAGGATATTTGCTCATTGCAATCAATTTCTAGGTGTTTCAATGACTGGAAAGGACATGTGGGAACCCTGAAACAGGTCTAATGAAAAATCTTTATCATTATACATGACTGCCTGGAATGATGCTTCTGTGGGCTGCACATAGGCAAACGTGTACTTGGATTGCCCGGGTCTCCATTTGCATCCTGACGACAGTCGAATCCACAAATTAACATGCTTGACACACAGGCCCATTTGATTTTCCATGTGATATCTTTGGAGAAGCACAATTCCAGCTTTAAACCATCAAAGCTCTAATATTCAATTTAATGTAAATGTGATTGCTGAATTTGTCTAGTTTTTTTCCAACTATTTTATTTTAATTTGCTCGTAGCATTCATCTGTTAGGGGAGCATACACATCAGACAACTACTGTAAATGTACCTGGATCTCTTTAGGAAAGGTTGCGCTAAACATCATGGTTTGTCGGATTCCTTTATGTGGCATGGTGTCCTGTTCAACGATGCGTCTAATCTGTGGTTCAAATCCCATGTCCAACATACGATCTGCTTCATCCAGCACCAGGTAGCTGCAATGAAGAAGACACAAAGGAGGTTTTGCCTTTAAAATTAAGCTAAGATTTAAAATATATATAATAAGAGCTGTTGAAGAAATTTTGTCCATCACTCCCTCCCTCTGTCCAAGTCTTACTTGCAGTAATCCAGTCCAATCTTGCCCCTTTCCATCATGTCCACCAGTCTTCCTGGTGTTGCCACCAGCAGGTGGCAGCCTCTCTCCAGATCTCTGATCTGCTGGCCAATGTCTGCTCCGCCATACACAACACAGGGACGCACTCTGGACCGGTAGGAAAACTACAAAGAAAAACAAAATGGTTGATGACATACATGGATAAATATTTCTCCTTTTTTTAAAGATTTTATACTTGTGTGTTTGTGTGTGTGTGTGTACCTTCCTGGCTTCATCATATATCTGTAGTGCCAGTTCTCTGGTTGGAGCCAATACCAGTGAGATGGGGTATTGCTTACGGCGTCCATACTTTCCATTCTCCTGTAATACAATGACAACACAACATCTAAGTCAAATAACAGTTGATGTTGATGGAAGTTGTTTTTCCAGTTAAGTGACGTTAGGAAATCACAAGAGGTTTCAGATGGCTTCACAGTTCAAGTCCCCACTTATCAGGACTCAGGAGACCAGTGGTTCCCAAACTGGGAGGCGAAACCCCTTGAAGGGGTCAACAATTTAAGGGGCTGCAGGATATCTGGATAGAAAAAAACAACAACAACACATACTCTGCTTCACAAAAAGCTTTTTTATGATTACTTTAATTGTTGCTTTGACTTGAAATACCTGATTCGTTTTCCCCCACATAACAGCTTCACGGTGCCTAGATTAGGCTTGCAATAAAATCAGTAAAGCTATTTATTAAGTTTAACAGCTTTTCTGTAATGGTTTAGTTTAATATCTGTGGGGTAATGTACTGAGAAAATGATAAAAAAGGGATACAAAGTTTACCTTTACCAAAAACTGCAGTGTCTGTGATTTGGATATTGCAATTTGGATAGTATTTTTCAATTAATTATGTAGTCCTAATTTTTTCCCCTTACCTGTCCAGATGCTTTAGCAGCGTTAAGAGCTTCTCCTGGTCCTTCAGTGTAGATCTGGCTGAGAATTGGCAGCAGGAACGCAGCAGTCTTCCCAGAACCTGAATACACAAAGTCAACCTCGTTCATCTCACCTCCAGGTGCATTCAGCAGAATCATCATTCAAAGATATTTATGACTTCGCTCTGTTTCTGGAAATATGATGCACAGTATGCGGGTGAGTGTGTCAACCTACCTGTCTGTGCACAGGCCATGAGGTCTCGCTTTGCCTTGACAATAGGAATGGCATATTTCTGGACAGGGGTTGGTCTGGTGTAGCGACTTAGGGCAATATTACCCATGACAATCTCACCCATGTCCACATCTTGGAACTGCAAAGCGCACACACAGTCAAACACACATCAAAAGAGCAGTAGAAAGTAATTTGATACATCATTTACCCTTGATGGATCCCTAGTAAACAACAGTGGCTTACACTCTCGATGTGGTGAGGGCAGTTTTGTCCTGTGGCCTCGACGGGAATGTCATCGTATTTCTCAAAGTTGATCCCAGTGTTACTGCCTGAGAACAACTCACTACACAGGAGCAAAGCAGGAGAAACCGAGTTAGTCTAATGTTCAGAAAAGACACACACATTTAACAATGATCTGAAATAATTACCCTTGTGTTAAAAAAATACTTTTGTCTACGAACACACCTCGTGTTTTCTTTGCTAGATTTTGTGATCTTGAGTAAATCACTGCATTTCAATTATTTGGCACATTTCTAAACTAATGATGTGGACAATGGTCTGTCCAACACAGAAAGCATGTCCTCACAACAGCTGGAAGCTAAGGAATGTGTTTTTTTAAAACTAACCAAATATCAAAATAGTTCCCCATTCATTTTCTGTGGATCGACAAATCGATGAATTGTTTCCTCTTATGGTTTTGTTCATTCTCAGAACCATAGCAGACATAAATTGAGTGACACTTTCATACTGGTATGCTGTTAATATTGTGACCTAAGGCTAACCATCTGCCTGGGAGTTTTGTAACTGTACAATAATTCCCATGCTTTGAAAGGATAAAGGTCTGTTAAGTGACAATTATCTAGCTAAAATGAACCATGAACAACTGTTTGTCATGTCTGACCAGCGTGTTCCATTCGTCATTATGTGTTATTCTATTACACAACAACCAATGAAACCCCAACAAAACAAATGGTCTAATGTTGATTTTAGAATCCATTCATTCAGTCATGATCCGTACTTCCAGTATAAAGCTGATAATGGCGAGCATCTTTCATGAACCACTCCTTGATATTTCCTGGTCTCATAACAAAATGAGTCCAATTATCAAGCTTTACTCGTCTGGAGTACACCTCTCATTATATAAAAGCGCAGACTCACTGTTCAAGGCGTTCGTTACGTGGTGTTGGTTTGGACCAGTCTCCTTCATCTCTGGACTCTTCCACCCAGCGGCTGTTTCCTCCTCCTCCACCGCCACCAAATCCACCATGATCAAACCTGAACACAAAGACAATGACAGTACAAGATATATGATAGGATATTTTAGAAACTCTACAAATCACACTACTCTTGACTGCATTTTTTATATATCACAACATATTTAATCATAATTCCTGTATAATGGTAATATTGCCAGATTCTTGCAAATACACAGCCCTATTTTCATATTGAACGTGGTGCCTTAACCTGAACTTGTTTCACTGACTGTAGCAGCAGATATTCACTCTGTCTCGTCTCCTTACCTCCCTCTATTAGCGTTGCCTCTGTCATTGAAGAACGCAGACTTCCCTCGGTTGTTACCAAAACTGCTATAGGCGTCCTTGGCAGTGTTCCAGCCGCCGGCGTCTTATAGGACAATAAGCACAAAACTATTACAAGACAGTTTCATACATACAGTGTTATCAGTATTCAGAGTGTGGAGACAACCACAGCTGGTCTTTGGACTCATATCGGAGATGTGTGCTGTGAAACTGTATTTATTTGATGTTTAGTCTCACTGACAATTTCAAGAGAACCAGGGCTTGTGAAGCTCTGAAAAATGTCCTGTTTTCTTTTGGATCCCTTACGTCTCCCATTCCCTGTCAGTGGAGTGGCTTTATAAAGTGTGTTCAGTAGTGTTTCAGTTCAAGCTTTGGATAAACAATTCATATTTTTGCACCTTTTTAGTTATTTTACATTTTCTTTAAAGGAGAGCACATAACATTGGCAAAGCCTTAGTTTAGTGCAGTAAAAGCAACCCCCACCTTTATTTTCGTAGCCAGCGAAGCCCATTGGCTGCGCTGGGTTGATGGGGTTGAAGGAGCCGCCCCTGTTGCCGCGGTAACCTCCTCCGACGCCACCTCGGCCCCGCTCCATGCGGGGTGGGCCACGGTTAAATGTGTTGCCAGCAGTCATGCGGTTGTCATGGTAGCCATTAACAAAGTTGTTGCGCCCCCCGTCCCAACCATCTACAGAGGGAGAAGAGGACCATAATGAAACAATGATGCTGGTATCCAATGTGTGCAGGATTATGACATTATTGTTTCGGTTCTTATTGGTAACCCATAAGTGGCGGATTGAAACCACAGATTCCTTCACAGATCTGGATATCGCCACCGATTTCCCAAATCGATTTAAATTCCAATGCACAAGGTCCCAATTCCATTAGACTTCTGATTCTCAGAGATTGTCAGATAACTACTGCTGTACATTGTAAAACCTGGTGAATTATTAACAATATTCCTGTTTACACGAGGATTTAACGCTGCAGTGTTTACTGGCAACAGTCGCAGGTCAGATGACCCAGGCTACATTGTAAATATACAGCAGCGATCCGCCGTGGCCTACATAGCCTCCTTCCAACACCAGTTATCTTGCCGTTTTAGCTCATTTTCTCATGTTAAAGTGTTGATGAAGTATCGGTCTCTGTATGCCTTCAGATTTGCAAAAACCAACCAACTATTCTCTGTGGCCAGATCTTGTTACGAAATGTGCAAATGTAGTGAGAAATAGTACCTTTTGAAACTGTCCGCCATTCATTCCCACACTCTTTGCCCACTGAAAGAGCACAGCTCAATACAGTTTCTCTTTATGAAGTTTATTGATAACCAATTGACAAGAAGACTGTCTACAAAGAACAGCCCTTAGATTATGACGCTGGCTGCTCAGACTAATTATACGTTTATTTTACTCAATATCTAATGGCGGTATGCTGCAAATGGGTGCCCTTTGTGCGCGTTTATAAACTACTTTGCTAATTAAGCATGAAGTGCTGTTATTAATGACTCCTGTTGAAATGTAGTTTGGAGATCAGTCAGACTGGTTGGGAAAGATCTTGTTGTATGTGAACCCTGTTGCTGATCAGTCACATGTAAAAATCACAACAACTTTCAAGACTCCCGATAAGACTGAAAGTTGCACAGAGATCTCATAACTCTGAAAGTCTTGTGTCAAAGGATTCAAGAACTAAAGGCTGCCATGTGAGACTGACGGGGTAAAAGGCATACTAGGTGGTATTTTCGTAAAAAGAACAATGTATAGACTCATACACACATAATCCCTCCCAATCATCACTTATGACCAACTGCTGCAGTCTGTGTGTCTGTTTGACTGTGGGTAAGTGCAGCTTCGTGCACCTTCTGCAGGATTGTGCGGAGGAAACTGAAACAATCAGAATTTAACCTTTTATTTCTCTGATTCGCAGCTTTGTTCTCGGTAATGGCGCCCCCTCACTCCAGTTTACTGTCCACTTTGTTCTGCCATCACTGAAAAAATACTGTATAGTATGCCTTTAATACTAGAGTTGTTCCGATTCCGATACCAGTATCAGAAATTGCTCTGATACTGCCGAAA